TCAAGGCAATATATTTTAATTGTTCTGTTAAAGTAGAGGGAAATTTATACGAACCAAATATCTTATTGTATCTTAAAAATGGCTCTAAAAATTAAAATTTGTAAAGTTTACCACTTTTTATTCTCATTACTTTGTAGCATGATTGTAATTTGCATCGAAAGGTAGCAGCAAACCTATAGTCTAATACCATTTTGTATTCCAACCAAGTAGTGGCTAACAATTTAACTTACGATTCAAAGTCCGACAAAATCAATCAATGCATCCAATTCACAATATCAGTCGTATTGTCAATCATTCAGTCAGCCAGACATGCGCCAGCCCAGTTATTCCCAGACAGCTAAGACCGTGATGTATAAAATGTAGCCCAAAATAAATTCGCAAATCGGGCACTTGCTACACTACTATTTCGTATCAAAAACAACATGCATTTCTCTTTTCTTTTACAAGAAGCGCCCGTCAATCGGGTAACGCTTTCATGCTACAAGCTTAATTGGCAACCGGAGGCGATTGTTATTTCGCGCTCAGTGTAGGCCACGGGTTAATAAATGTAGAGAGAGAGAGAGAGAGAGAGAGAGGAGAGAAGTTGAGGAACACGGCCAGAGAGTGTCTTGTTAACAGATAAAAATATGAGCTCCGTGGAGTAATGTAAAGTAATAAGTTAGATGAGGTGGCTTAGTTGGGTAGATAGCCCATTAATAATATCCGTCATACGTTCTCTTTGAACTGCTTTAACCTTAAAGAGTGGTAGCAAAACCGAGAGTAGGAACAACGCAGATAAATTAGAAATGCACAATAAAACAACCCTTCTGCTCAACGAACATCGTGCAACCCTCTCAATGTAAGTATTCGCTTTCTGCTGCACAAAACTTTTCGCAATTAAAACTTCGAAATGAAAAGACAATAAAAATCAATTATTGTTAATAACAAAAAAATAAGAACAACCCACGACAACCGTTTACCCTTGCTGAAGGGCAACCCATACTCTCTAGAGTTGATGCAAAAATTTGAATACAGTCAGTTACTTCAACGAGTGCTTTAAAAAGTGAGCGGAAATCGGAGAGTAGTGCGGATAGAAGACCAAAGAGTGAAGAGCCCCGGAAACAAAATCAGACAAATGCATTTTGACTGTCGACGTTCAATACCTTGCATGTCACGACGAAGCTGCACGTGTAATTTTCGAGGGCCTGAAGCCAGCCAGCCACATAGGCAATCAGCCCGCGAGGACTATGCGCGTGCACACAAAATGGCGCCATGGGCAGGTAAACAGAGATGAGATGAGGATGGAAAGAGGCAACTCCACAATTTTTGGCTGGCTACGTGGCCAGTCGAGACGCATCACCCACTCCCTTTTAATTCTTCAGTTGATACAGGCCACCAAACAAGCCTCTGGTGGGAATGAATTATGGAAGACTGGACTGAAAGTCGGGCGAAACAAGGGAGGGCTACTCTTGTTGCCTTTTGGTCTATTTTTAACAGACGGTCTGGCGAGAGTGCATGCAAAATTTATTTGACATGCTTATTGGCGCATGTTTCACGCTGCCAGACGCAGTGGCGCAAGGTAGGGGATCACCGCAGTGGGTCGATTTTATAGACGAACTATTAATGACATGTAACTAGAACATGTGATGTGAAGTTCTTTCTGTAATACCATAAACAATACACCCGAGCACTTCGTAGTGGATTGATTTTAAATGCTTGGTGCAGTTTCCTCCAATCGCAGCGGTTCTTATTCTCGATATAGCCATGTCAGTCTGTCCGTCTGTATGAGCGCAAGGATCTCAGAAGGTACAAGAGCTAGAATTACCAAACTTGGTATCCAGGTTCCCCTAAGCTCTAGGCAGGTCAAGTTTATTTTTTTATTCTGATACACCCCCACTCCCCCGCAATTCGTGTTTTTTCTTATAACTTCCGTAATTCTCGGAATTTTAAAATCAATTTTGGTAGTTACATCCAGTTAGTGCTTATGTGTCCGCGTGCCAAGTTTCATCATGATAGGTCAATTCTGAAGAAGTTATAGCCATAAGTAAAGCGCTGCCCGCAGCTGTTGTTGTTGTTGCTGCTTTGGTTCAACTTTGTGCTGCAGACATACACGCATATAAACACGCATAGGTACGTGATGTAAATGTATGCTGTTAAAACTGAACATAAACATGTATTCTAATTTAATTTAATTAATTAATTTTAATTAATTAATTCATTCATTTTTTTAATAATTTAATTTTTTTTTAATTTTTCCTTTTTGTGGAGAGTACAGGCTATTTTACTGTCGGGCTTGCTCGACTGTAGCGTTCTATCTTGTTTTTTCTTCGTTTTTACTTTTTTGGTGGGAGGTACAGGGTATTTAAGAGTAGAGCTCGCTCGACTTTCGCATTCCTTTCTTGTTGTTACTGTATTGGATTTTATAGAGAATCTATAAACATAATAGTTTAAGCGAACCATTGAACTGATCCGTCTTATCGAATTCCGGATCGAATGAAACTAAATAATAAACAACGCTTTTCGAAGATTTTAGATGCATTTCGAACCTCTTCATTTGTCTGTTGCCACATGACCTAACAATCTAAATGATCTTCTGAGCCTTTATTCCGAACTGTGCTCGGGTTATAGATCAATTCCTTTTGCAACTTGCCTGGAAATGCCTACGAAAAATCTTAAGCTTGAACATATATCTTATGGCACAAAAGAGCAAGCAAGTAAAGCATTTAGCCCCTAGAGATAAGTGTGGCGACCTTTTGACAAGATTCAGCGCATCCGCTACAAGTGCACACTTAATCACTTCTAAGAGCACCCGACATGGCGCCACATTTTGGACACGCGCACGGTAAGGCAGTCAGTCAGTCAGGTAGATAGGCAGTCTACTCAAAGGGCAGAGGGCATAACATTCCACATTGGGGCACGTACGCACTGTTAGAAGCGCCTAAGGGTATGCAATGGCTGAGCAGAAGCTTAAACGATGCCAAGTGGCAAGCGGCAACGGCACCGACGACGAAACGGCTGAAACCGGGCAACGAGGCAAGCCAACGCAGCGAAAGGCTAAAGAGCAACTACGATGATGACGGCGATGATGCCAACGCCAAGCTCTTGAATCGTGGAGAAGATGCTGCTTCATGTGCTAATTGCGCTGTCAAGTCAAGTGTGAGTCTGTGTATGTGTGTCTGTATAGAACAACGAAAGCAACAAGAACAATGAGAGCTTCCTCTGATAGCAACAGCTCAATGCATAATGAGAGACACAGACATACATACATACATACAACAACCCTATAGTACGTGAATACAAGTTTTGTGCGAGATCTGCCGCTTACATTACCGTCGCTTTAACATGATTTAAGAGAAACATTGTTGCATACTTTGTACGGTCGCGAGAGCACTGCGCTCTTGACAGCAACGCGCCACTCACGTCGCGACGTCAACAATTTCCCATAACAACGCGCAGCAAAAGCCAATTAAGTAATGTGGCAACAATAATGGCCAGTCCGGAGCAAAGTAGTGTCGCATCATCAATTTCTGGCTGGTCAATACGGCGCACCCCATTGATTCTATATCGTCCTTACGTTTGTGTTAACAGATTTTGGAGTAGTCGCTCAATGCTTTGCATAAAAAAAAACATTTTTATCGCCATGGCGAGATAATGCGCCGGCAACCAATTCGCCGTCAGCTGCCAGCAGTGGTAAAATCGATTTTTCCAACTCTCACAAATACAAGAATGCTCTGGGAAAACATGTGCCAAAGACTGCTTTCGCGTCCCTGCATGTCTCTGCGTCTGGATAGCAGCTAGCGACGTCACAATAGCAACAATTGCGATAGCCACGTGTGTAGTAAAGATGGGACTGAGAAAGCAAACCAAACCGATTGGGAGGCCAGATGAGCCCGAATATGAACAAAAGCAATAGTACAAGAAAATGGCGAAGACAAATTAATTCTTCTCCACTTCAACGTGTTCCTCCACGTTCCCCTTATGGATTGAGCTCCAGATTGATCAACACTGGCCCTGCCGCTGGATCAACCCAGTCTAAATCAATACGTATGTAAGTAGGAGTATACACGTACTATATTTTATTTCCGCTACAAATATTCCCAAGAAGTCTGAGTCTATGTAGCCACGCGGCCTGTGCTGTCAATATAACGTATAAAGACTTATTACAAACAAAATATAACAATTATTTCTTATATCTGCATGAGAAAAACTACTGACAGTAAAAAAAAATTGATCTATTGTTTGGTCACATTATATTACATATTTCTATATTTTAAATCGGTCTTTAAATTCTTTTAAAAATGTCTTGTGGAGGAATTAATGCTACAAAATTACATCCTCTAAAATTACAATCCCCAAAATACCATCTTTTAACTTTTTTTTTTAATATTAATTTGGAACATAATAAGCAAATCATTATTATTCATTTCATTTCACATTCAAATAGAACGTGTGCACAAAAATTGAAAAAAGTACTATTTATTATATAAAATTTTTTTAGAGAAAATTATCTCTGTAATATCTTAAGCTTTAAAGTATGGTGAAAACTTAATATGGACGCAAATTCTTTTTTTTAATGAAACTTATAATGTACACAGATTTCCAGGCCTTAGTGCTATGTTCTCAAACTACATACATACGAAACTGTATCCATTTTTCAAACATTTTCCATTCCCGAAAGGCATTAGACCTAAGATGGCTGCGTTAAGAGACATAACGTCATGCAATTCAACCCCCCAAAGCAAAACTTTTATCAGACCACCCCCTCAAATATCAGGCAATGAAAAGTGTGCCAGTGTGGGTTAATGTCAAAGTGTGGGTTAATGTAATGTGAGGGTGCGGGCAATGTGCCGCTTATAAATTGAAAGCGTGTTCCTCTGCAGGTAGTACCTCTGTATATCTAACGTTCAGTCTGGCCCCATGAAATTATCAATACGATGGATAGTGGCTATGTTCCATACTGATAAGGGTGACTGGCTGCCAGGTTATGGAGAAGAAGGTAGCCTAGATATGGGCGTACTCACCCTAGCATGCATGTGCACATCGTTCTCGCCGGGCTGTTGTACACCGGTGCGAATCTTCTTATTCTGCGGTCCCTCGCTGACGACAATGGTGCTGCCACCGCCACCGCTGCCGCCACTGCCGCTCCCATTGCTAGCGCCGTTGTAGGGCATTGTGGTCGCCGTGGTCGCAAAATGTAGCGAAATCTCGGGACTGAGCAGCGTTTGTGGTTGGGGGAGAATTTTGGCGCTTTGCAGTTTAACCTGGTCGCCTAGAACTGAAGTAAGGGTGCGGGACAGGCAGATGCGTGCACTCGTACGACGTGATTGCTTGACGTAACTAACGTAAGCGACGCACTAGAATCGCGGCAGAATCGCGCGCGGTTTTTTTGTTTTGGAATTTATTGTAAATATTTACTTTGCGTTTTTGCTGCTGCTGTAGTTGTTGCTGCAACGTTTATTTATTTACTTTTGCGTCTCGAACTTCTTCCGCTGAACTTTTACATACAAACACTTTCGATTTTTACGCTCTAGACGTTACGTTATTGCACTTTTTGCTTTTCTTCAAACACGAATTTTAAGTATGTGGAATTTTCACTTTGGGCGTGCACTTATTGTTTTTGTTTATTTGATTTTTTGTGTACTTTTTCTGTTGTTTTTGAATCAGTTGTGGGTACCAAACACAGGCGTAATCGGTTTTGATGGTGTGGTTAACATGAAACGAGACAAGAAACAATATGTTTTAAATATACGTTGTCATCAATCCCAGTTGCTATATCTATTAAACTGCGCTAAACCAAGAAAATTGCTAAGCCTAAGCAACCGCTAAAATACTCGTATGAATGTACATAATTGCAAAATCCCTGGCACTTTTCTTATATGATTCCAATTGTTTGGATATTTTGATTTCCCTTGTCGAATCACAATTAGAACCGCTCGAAAAATCGAAACTTCGTATTGGTAACAGTGAGTTCAAATTGTATAATTTGTTCCACAGCTGAAGCTGAAAAAGTCCATTCCGTTTTTTTCAAGCTGATAAGCCACATATGTGCATATAACAAGTTGTGGGCTCTACATCTGTGCATGTGAAGAAGCAGCTATAAGTAACAAAATATTAAAGTTTTTTAATTAAAAATAGTAAGGGAGAGAGAGCCATGGAACTAATTCTAATCAGCAAACAGCAGTTGCCGGACTCATACGGAAAACACCTCTGCAGCGCATCGCAAATTCAAGTAACAGCCCTCGTGATGTTGTCAATACATACAAAGAGAAGAGGCTTCGATAGAAGCAGGGGCAGGCGAAAGCACCGGGAAAGTGAACTCAAGCGAAATGTCAAAAAATATTTGAAGGCAGCACAGGGCGCAAGCAGGCTGAGAAAATGGATATGGCGGGCCGGTACCGACGGCGGCATCGACGAAAACGCGGAAAGCAAATCAGGAACCTTCGCTATGAAAATCGCGTAAAAGTAAACTTAAACATCTTTTTGCTTCAAATACGATGACAGCGACAACCCTTAGCTGACGACCAACTGACTGGCGATGGAAAATTGCAGGAAAAAGCTACACACACTTGGCATTTATGGCTGATTTTTGTTTTGTTTGTGTGGGCGCGCTTGGACGCCGTCGATGTTGACGGGGGTTGGTTTTTCATTAATGAAACAAGCAAAGGGAAAAAGTAGTTCGGGTTTCTATTTTGTTTTTGCTGTCCTTGTCGCCACTGCCGCCGCCAGAATTTGTTGGTTATGTTTTTCCGCTAGGCGCTTACAAAATGGTGGCGACGCAAAAACAATTTTGATTCACAATAATTTTCCAGGCTCTGAATTTAGATTTAACGGTTTTAACTTTTTTATTTTGAACTTTTTTTTAATTTTTTTTATCTGTAATTTTGTTATTGGAGTTTCACATTGTATGTGAGTTTAATTGGACGAAAACTTTTACTGAAAATTGCACTCGCGCTCTGGTTAATTTTGTTTGTCCGTTTTATTTGACAGCTACCGAAAGCCTACTCAAGTCCAACCACAGTCAAAATTTCGCAAGTGCTTTGCAAATTTGTAATTATGTCGACGTTTTCGACTACTGCTGATTTTTCGCACACAATACAAATCAAATTTTCCTAACGGGACTAACGTTTCAATTTTCGCAGACTATTTTACACTTCGACGCCGCGTTGGCGAATGTCAGTCAAATGCAAGAAAGAAAACCTGCGATGTGTTGTCGCTTCGGAAAGTAAAAAGCCGAATGCGTGACGAAGGTGCGCGAAGCTTAGAATGAGAGAGGAAGAGAGCTGAGTTAAGGCCTGGGCTGAGCACAGGTAGACAACGGCAACCGAGTGTGAGTATGCATTTGTGTGTGAGTATGCGTACATTATGTTTTCCAGAGAGAGAATGAGAGCGCGCAGAATCAAGGGGCTGTGTGCGCATGTTGCAAGGTGGCGATGGAAGAGGAGAAAGAGAGAGCATAATAAAAGCAGCAACCAGTTACAGCAAGAACAACAGCACCTTGATGCTGTCTGTTGCGTGGTTTAAGCAACAACTTCGCAGTGGCACGACGTTTAGTTGTTGTATTTGTATAGAACAAATTTCCCGTTGCTGATACTGCTGCTGTTAATGCGACGTCTGCAGTGACAACAATAACAGCCACAAAGAGCAACAAAGAGTAAAAGGACCTTATGCTTCGTGCAAAAATTTCGTTATTGTGGAAGATGGTGGACAGCAAGCAACTAGAGAAACCGTCTGGTTAGGCAACAATTGCGGTTGTCAAAGCTTAGAAAAACAAGTTGCACTTTTGCAACAATTTCACTGCTGCACACAAATACAACCCGACACAAGATACATACATATGTACATATGTATGTACATATGCATTTCTGTACACACAATCACGCAAACAAAGACACAAGGGTAGACAGTCTGGCGAAAAAACACTTTCACCGCTATGCGCTGCATTGTGCAAATGGTAAAAAAAATTTGTATTTTTCGTTTTACCTTGTAGGTGTAAATGTAGCACCTGCACTTTTCTGTTTGTTTATTAAGATTTATTGGTTATGGTAAAATTCGCATGCAAACTGCTTTTTGCTATTTTGTTTTCTTTGCTTTCGCGTCTGCTATGGCCCTTTTCACAATACACAAACAAAACGCGCAGCGTGTGAGAGCGAATGTGCGAGTGAGTGAGAGAGAGCGAGCGAGACAACTGTGACTGTGACGCGGCGTAAGAAAAACTCGAGCGACAGCGACGCACGGAAGTTTTAATTAAGAAGCATATTTAATTTAAATTTATGGTTATGCAAAATACGAATTGCACGTAACGTACGAATGATTTCTACTATTGGAACACACAGACACAACTAGCCAGCCATTCGAGCGAGCAGCGCTTTTGTTGTTTTCAATTTTCTGCTTTATACACTTTTCTCCGTCTATTTCGCTGGGCAATTTCAACCGTGCGCTACAAAGTTTGAATTCGTACTGAAAAAAATGAGCGCAGCAGTCGCTGTCGCTGGTCGAATGCCCGGTGCTTGCCACATATTGCGTGCGTGCGAGCGAGCAAGCGAGAGGGATGCAGCAAGTGCGGTGTAACACAACAAGCGATACGTGGGTCGCTCTTTTACAGGGCACACAGATACAAATGACCCATACAATCGCAAATTTACGGCAATGCCTGCTCTCTGGTCTTGTAATGAGCAAAAGAGCGTGCAAGAGAATGACGCGCACAGTGGGACAATTTAAAAATCAAATTTAAATACAATTTTATCGTTATAAATAATATACGATATTCGAAAACAGAAGATTAACTTATGACTACCGCCTTTCTAAATTTACAAAAAATATTATTAGTTTTTAAAATTTAAAATTAAACCAATTTTAATGTTTGTAATTTTTCAAAACAACCCAATACAGATTAATTTATTTTTGCATGGATAGTGTATTTTTGTAGTACTTTACTAATCGTTACATACTAGTCAGCTTTTTAAAACGATCAATATCATGATGCTTTTAACCGTTTTCCAAGGACACTTTGATTAAATTGTAGACAACGAAAAATGCAAAGGTGGAAAAAACGTATACATATACATACTCAAAAAAAACATTATTTTGGTAATTAAATTATTTAAATAAAATGTACAGTTTCATTGGTATATTTTAACATCGTGCTTATGTATGTGCAGTACAGAATTAATTGATCACTTTACTAATGCAGCAACAACAAATAACGCTAAATATCAAACTATCGATACTACCGACAGCTTTTTATGTTTTTATGATGTTTTCTTAAGCCACAAACAATGGATATGCTTTTGTTATACCCTATACCCAAAGGGTAAAAGGGTAGTTTTGTGCGAGTGTATATGTAACACACACAGAAGGAGGCGTTGGAGACCCCACAAAGTATATAAGGCGCGTTGCAAAACTATAGTACTACTTAAAAAATTGCGATTGCTTAAAAACGACTGACTGTATGGTACAACAATGTTCTGCGAAAATGTGTTAAATACAAAATAAGGAAGAAATAACGGTATTTGGTAAAAATGTTTATTGTAAAATATTAAGAAATATGGGAAAAACGGTTTTTTGCTTTTGCATTACTATAGAACCGCTTGCGTAAATTTTCAATATTAAAACGAATTATAATTAGTAATGTATTTAAATGGTTTAACTTTATTAAATACTAGCAGGTCTTGTCCGTTTTTGCTGGCTCAGTATTTGTGCTTCCAATTATACGTTTATTTACTGTATGATATTTCTCTTCCGACACTCTAAAGTTTCTAAAGAGTTCATTTCCCAAATAGCAAATTACTTTGGTAAGATTCGAGAGCTAGGACATATAGTCAGTTCTGTCATAATTTTTTGAGCAAAAATAGCTAGATTGCCAAAAAAAATAAAGCTAACAAAATCTAAATCCAAGGCAAAATAAGCTAAAAAAAAACTAGCCGGCTTTAAAAACACTATTTTCTTGGTTAAATTTAAGGAAATATCTGTTTTAACGTTTTCATATTAATTCTATATTCTTAATTCATAATAATAATATTAGATTCTTGTAAAAATAATAATAGAAAATTCACATTAAAATCAAGCTAAAAATTATACAGTTGTTCAGTTTCAGTTCAGTTTTGTAACGATTAAGTCCGTATCTTAAATTGAAAATTAATTAATATAATTATGAATATGGTTTATTTTGCTTACAAAATAAACATAA